CCGTTCCACTTCCGGGGGAGTGGAGGACCCGGATGAGCCTGCACCCCGCCGCTGCCGTCCGGCAGCGCGGAGGGCAGACGCCGCACGCCTCCGCCTCGAGAAACACCCCTGCCTGGGAGACTCTGGGGCGGCCTCTGGGTCCCCCCAGTGGGCAGACGTTCCCAGGAAGACGTTACAGGCGCAGAATCCACGCGAGGTGGAGTTCCTGGGGCAGCCGACTCTCTTCAGGGATGAATTTCGGAGGAGAGGGAGGGGAAGGCGCCGGGTGGCGCCGGGCGCTGCACGCGTGGGAGACAAGCACGTGGGGAGGAGGGACGGTGGCGCCGGGGCTGCGGAGGGGCCGCCGCGCGGGGCCCCGCAGAGTCGGTTCAGGGGTGGTGGGTGTTTAAACTCTGCGCTCGTTTCATTTTTTATTTTTAAAGCTCTTTGTATATTTAGAGACGGAGGCTCGCTCTGTCGCCCAGGCTGCGGTGTAGTGCCGCGATCTGGGCCCACTGCACCCTCCGCCTCCCGGGTCCAGGTGCTGCTTCCTCCTTGAGTCAGCAGTCCGAGCCACATGGGAGGCCAAGGTGGAAGGATCGCTGGAGCCCAGGAGTTCGAGACCAGCCTAGCAACAAAGTGAAAACCCTGTCTCTATCTTTTCAAATAAGTTTGATCTTAATGTGGCTGGATATAAATCATAGCACAATTGGATTTGGAAATTTGGGTTTTATTCTTAACTTTGATGGGAAACCATTTTAAGCAGAAAGATGATTTTCAAAGGCCAGTATATCTTCTGTGTGAAGAATGAACTGAGAGATTTCATAGTATTATTAACAAAAATAGAAGAGTCCAGATCTGAGGATCCAGTCTTGGGGATCTTCCCAAGTAGCTGGGACCACGGTCATGCATCACCATATCCAGCTAATTTTTGTATTTTTTAGTAGAGATGGGGTTTTACCATATTGGCCAAGCTGGTCTCGAGCTCCTGACCTCGTGATCCTCCCATCTCAGCCTCCCAAAGTGCTGGGATTACAGGTGTGAGCCACCGTGCCCGGCCATTTTATTTTTTTTTATTTTTTTATTTTTATTTTTATTTATTTATTTATTTATTTTTTTGAGACAAGAGTTTCACTCTTGTTGCCCAGGGTGGAGTGCAGTGGCGTGAATCAGCTCACCGCAACCTCCGCTTCCCAGGTTCAAGCTATTCTCCTGCCTCAGCCTCCAGAGTGGCTGGGATTACAAACATGCCCCACCACGCCCAGCTAATTGTGTATTTTGAGTAGAGACAGGGTTTCACCATGTTGGTCAGGCTGGTCTGGAACTCCTGACCTCAGGTGATCCACCTGTCCCAGCCTCCCAAAGTGCTGGGATGACGCGTGAGCCACCGCGCAGCCAGCATTTGTTTTGTGTTGCTTTCTATGAATGGATTCTTTTCATTATTAGGGTTTTTTTTTTTTTTTTTTTGAGGCAGAGTCTCACTTCGTCACCCAGGCTAGAGTGCAGTGTCATAATCTCGGCTCACTGCAACCCCCACCTCCCAGGTTCAGGCAATTCTCCTGCTTCAGCCTCCTGAGTACCTGGGATTACAGGTTCCTGCCACCACATCCAGCTAATTTTTTGTATTTTTAGTAGAGATGGGGTTTCACCATGTTGGGCAAGCTGGTCTCAAACTGCTGACCTTGTGATCTGCTCACCTTAGCCTCCCAAAGTGCTGGGATTATAGGCATGAACCACCACACCCAGCCTATTGAGGGGTATTTTTTAAAGGGACAGAGCCCAGAGGACTTGGTGACTATTCTGAGCATGTAGGGGTGAGCTGGGTGACTCGTCCCCAGGCTCTAACATGGGAGCTGGGAGATGAGCAGATGTTTACCATGGCCAGTGCGGTGGGACACACATCTGAGAGCCTGGGAGTTGGCCTCCACCTTGCCCGCAGGGTCCCTTGGCCTAGCCCACCCTGCTGCAGTAACACTCAGTGATGCTTCAGAAGCACAGTCTCCTTCCAGGTCTTTATTGCCACCAGGCACAAGTGGCCATGAAGGGTGGTGACCCTAAGGGGGCGAGTGGGGTCCCCCACCGAGGTGAACCCTGATGTTGGCTGTCTGCTCAGGGCCAGACCTCTCCAAGCAGGCGGAGGGCCAGGCCTGGCTCCAGCAGCAGCTTGGGTGGCAGGAGGGTCACCAGCTCAGGATGCCAGGGCAGTACTTGTCAATGAGCCCCTGGTAGTAGGGCCGCAGCGTGTCCACATCTGGCAGGTCCGGGCACTTGGTGTAGAGGTCAAACTTGCTGCAGCCAGGAGGGGCCGTGAGCCCTGTGAAGACCTCCCCCCAAGTCCCCGCCACTCCCACAACCTGCCCAGAGGTGACCGTACTTGAACTCCTGCACCCAGGGTAGCATGGCCAGGTCCTTCGGGCTGCATAGCTGCTGGTAGTCATTGCCGGTGTGCCAGGGGTAGAAGGAGTGGAACCGGATCATGTAGAAAGCCTGCAGGGAAGGCCACACCCAGCAGCTCACCGGCAGGGCTGCAGGGACCTGGCAGGGCAGGCTGATGGGGTGGGGTCACCCCTCCCCTTACCTACCTCCGGGGGCAGTGAGAACTTGTTGAATTTCATCACCTGGTACATGTACTCTGTGGGGAGATGGTGTCACCGCCAGGCACCACCTCCACCCCACTGTCCCCCACCGCCCCACTGCCCGCCTCTGGCCTCACCATCGTGGCCCCAGGACATGAGGACCCTGTCGAGCCCGCAGTGGGGCTGATACATTCCGAGTTCTGTGCTGCAGTGAGAGATGAGGGTGAGTAGGGCTCAGGAGTTGCCTGGGGTGGGTGGGGGCCAGCCCTGGGCAGCGGGGAGCACCTGTATCTTGGGTCCTGGAGGTCAGTGTTGTCCTGGAAGGTGGAGTTGCAGAAAACCACGGAGGCCTGGGGACAGCATCCGACCGGGAAGGTGTCTCCAACGACTGCCCACTGCAGAGGGACAGGTGGCCTTGGGGGCACTGGCCTGCCCTGCATGTAGTATCCCAGGCCAAGCACCGAGGCCACCCTGACCCCACCTGGCCTTGACAAACAGACCTCACCCCCCGCCACCAGCCCTTACCTGGGGCTCCCCGAACAGGGCCAGGACCTTCCCCAGGTCATGTAGGAGCCCAACAAGGTGGAACCAGTCTGGGAGGAAGATGGACAGGGTGAGTTGGGGAGTGCAGGGGCCAAGACAGAGGACAAGCAGGCTTGGGGGGCCGAGAGCTAGGTGGGGCCCAGGGCCTGCTCCCCAACCCAGGCAGGGCTGCTGGAGGAGGCCTGGGACCCCCACTGTCTCCTACCCCTCAGGCCCCTGCATTCTCCTCCTTGGAGGCAGCACCTCCCCCCACACAGCGGGGCATGGGGGCTCACCCTTGTCTGGGTGGGCCTTCCGGATGCCCTCTGCTGTCTGGAAGGCATGGAAGGAGTTGGGGAAGTCCACATCTGGATCGGACTCATCCACCAGCCTGTCCAGCAGGTCCACAGCCTCCATGACTGTCATTTTCTTGTAGGAGAAGCCCCCAAACTGGGCATGCTAGGGGTGGAGGAGAAGGCAGCGTGGCCCAGGGTCAGCAGGCCCAGGGCCTGTACGGGGGTGCAGGGCAGGCCCACTGCACAGGTCTCTCCATCCCCTAGGTGCCTGGTGGGCACATGGGGCTGAGGGCAAGAGTCCCTGAGAGGTTGCACGGGGCGGCAAAAAATGCCTACCTTGCTCCTGACAAAGTCCACCGTCTGGTGTGTGTGCATGAGCTTGTAGGTGGTGAAGACACGGTCCAGGAGGGGACCTGACTGCAGGCCAGAGGTCATCGGAGGCTGATGCCACCCCGTCACCCTGCACACGGGGCCCCATGCCTACCCTCTCCCAGGCAGCCCCACAGGGTGTGATGGGGGTGGGGGTTCCCATAGGGTACCCCCTGGAGCTGTGTGAAGGGCAGGTGCTGCGCCCCAGGGTGTGGGACAAGGAACTCACCGTGTAGTTCCGGAAGATGCCCTTGTCTTTGGCCACCTCTGGGTCCATGTCAGGTCGGTAGACCAGGGAAGGGTCTGGGCCCTGGGTAGGTGGAGGATTGAGCCCATTTCACCATCATGCCAGCTCCACAAGGAAGCACAGACATTCTCATGGTGGCTGCAGACTTCAAGCCTGCCTCTGCCCGACCTGGTAGTGGACACAAGAGGGCACTGCCTCTCCCACATCATCACCCTGGCCTCCGAGAGTCCCAGGAGCCCTCACTCCTCGGTCCTTATCTGCAGAGCAAATGTCAGCAGACGCCTGCTTCCAGGATGCAGGGGCCACCATGCCTGAGTGGCACCCGTGGGCACCCTCAAGAGGCGGAAGCAGCCTAGGGGTTGGCAGCTGCTGACTCTTGCCTGGCTGGACCGAAGCCGGGAGGAAGGAGCCATCTGACCTGGACAAGCAGGGCTGCCCAACACCAGTGGGAAGGGGGTGAGAGCAGTTGGCTACCAGGAGAGCAGTCATCGAGGCCTCTCTGCATGGGGTCTGGGTACTCACCACCATCACCTTCATCCTGAGAGGGGGCGGCACTCGGGTGGCAAAGTGCAGGCTGGCTCCTATATACGCCCCAGGTTACATAACTGACCATGGTAATGAGTGACCATGCACCCTTCCCCTGGCCTCAGGGAGTTAATGTGTCAGCACAGGAGCAGCCCCCAGCAGCTCCACGTCCTTTTGCCCTGAGCCAGCTTCCCTCCTGTCCTGAGTTGATGAGCTGCTTAGGGTTGTCTGTGGACCCAGCCTCCCACTTGCCCATGGCTTTAAACACCTCTGTGGGGTCCCTCCCCATAGGTGGGGGCAGACCAAAGACCCCACCCTCAAGCACACCCCCCCTCTGCCCTGGCCCCTTCCCAGCTGCCCCACTGGATCTCAGCAGGTTAAAAACTTGCCCCCAGCACCCATAATTCTGGGTGGAGCAGGGGCTTGTTAAGAAAATATTATTCTAAGGACTTGTTAAAATGGTGAGAAAAGCTTTATTCAAGAGAGAGGTGAGAGGAGCTCACCTCTGAATTCAACAACCACAGCTGGGGGCTGATGGCATCGAAGGGGTCAGCGGATGGGAAGTTGGTCAGGGGAGCCTTCGAGGGTAGGGGGTTCTCACTAGAGCGGCTCAGCGGGGATCCTGCAGGAGGCCGGCACGGTGATGAGATCGAGGTGGGAGTTGAGGAATTGGATCAGATATCAAGGGTGGGTAATTCTCCATAAACTGATTTAGCAGGATTCTTGCTGAAACCGAGCTCGGCGGGCCCAGCTAGGACAGGGACGGGGTGAGGCCTCGTGGAGGAAAGGACTCAGGGGCGTCAGCCCAGAGTATCAGGCACTGGGAGAGGGGCCTCATGGAGAGTAGGGGGCAGGCTCTGAACCCTCCAACACCAAGGCTGCCCACGCAACTTCCCATGCATGAGCCCCACAGGCAGGGAGGACAGCGTGAGAACAGAGTGCCCGGCTGCAAAGCTGGCATGTGGAGCGTGGCCAGGGAAGTCTGGAAACAGCAGTCAGCTGGGGCAGGAGAGAGGACAGTGGGGAACTGACCTGACTCAACAAGATCCTGGTGCAACTGAACTGAGAAGGAACCATGGATAGACCCCAGCGCCCCCCGCTTAAATGGCAACCTGCCCTGGACTCTCCTTCCTTGTCTGACTTCCCATGGCGCTCAGCACTCCCGACGCTCCGTCACCCACTTATTCTGCCTTCTATGTTTGTTTCCTTCTATCTCCTCCTAGAATGTCAGCCTGGCAGGGCACGGCTGTATCCTCAAGTGTCCCAGCAAGCTTGGGTCACACAGGCTCAGCATGCGCTGGCCAGAGGGAGGAGGCTACAGCCATCGCTCCCAGAGCAGGTGGTGCCTGCCTCAGGAGAAGGTGTCGGATAGGTTCATGAGGTGGGACCAGTAGGATTCAGAGGAAGGTGTGAGGGAAGAAAGGAGGTTTTTTTGGGGTTTTTTTTGCTGCAACCTCTGCCTCCTGGGCTCAAATGATTCTCTCCTCAGCCTCCCAAGTAGCTGGAATTACTGGCATGTACCACCACGCCCAGCTAATTTTTGTATTATCGTTTTTATTTCGAGAGAGTTTCGCTCTTCTTGCCCAGGTGGAGTGCAGTGGTGTGATCTTGGCTCACTGCAACCTCTACCTCCCAGGTTCAAGTGATCCTCCTGCCTCAGCCTCCCTGGTAGTTGAGATTACAGGCATGTGCCACCATGTGCAGCTTTTTTTGTATTTTTAGTAGAGGTGGGGTTTCACCATGTTGGCCAGGCTGGTCTTGAACACTTGACCTCAGGTGATCCACCCACTTCGGCTTCCCAAAGTGCTGGGATTACAGGTGTGAGCCACCAGACCGGCCAAGAGGAGGTTTTGGCTGGAACAGCAGGAAGTGGTTGCTGGGGAAGGTGGGGGTGGGTTTAGGCACTGCCAGGCCTCCAGGTGAGGGCATCAGGTGGGTCTGGCTTCACACCAGAGGTGACACAGAAGGTCACAGCAGGCGGCTTCCTGAGGGCATAGGGAGGGTGAAAGCCTTCATGGAGGAGGGAACACGGCTCTGACCACAGGCAGGCCCTGGATGTGGTGCCAAACTGGAGTTTGCCCAGGCAGGAGAGGACACGTCTGGGAGGGTTTTGGCTGGGCTGAGTAGGGGATGCTGATCTTCTGAGCCCCTAGCTTGGCCCAGGCCCCCCTCCTTCACTCCCCATGCCCCTCCTTCTGTCCTCATGCCCTACGCTCTGCTGACACCCTTCAGTGGCCACAGGGCACATGACCCTGAGGCCCGAGAGGCCCCTCTACCCTGCAGCCTGTTGGCAGCCATGCCTCCTGTGCACCTTGGGCCTTGGCACTCCCAAGGCACCCCTTCCCCGAGGGAAGCCCTGCTAGCTTCAGACCTCACTTGAGCCAGTACTGCTCCCAGGGAGCCGGCCTCGACTGCCTTTCTGTGTGAGCCACCACCCCGGCCACCTCTGCTGCAATCCTAGTCCGTCTCGCAGGGCATGGAGGCCTCCACAGGGCAGGACCAGCCTGGACTGTTCCCACAGGGCCTCTTGGAGCACAGGTCAGTTACCCGAACCTGGCGATCCCTGAGCTAGGGGAGCAAGCATAAGGCGGCACCTGGGTGGGCTCGGCCAGGACCCTCCCACTTTGAGGCAAGAGCTGAGGGGTAGCTCTGTGGGGGAATGTCCCGAGCCCTGTGCTGCGGCCTCTAGAACTGGGGTGATCATGGTGACCCTCATGGGATGGCCAAGAGGGTGACCCTAGCAAACATTTGCAAATTAAATGCTGAGCATTTGCCTAGTAGCAGAAGGAACCCTTTCTGAACTCCAGATTCTGCTGGATGAATGGGAAGCTTGAGTGGCACACAGTGTAAGCTGCCCATCTCCCCCGGGCAGAACGGCCGTGGTTTTTGTTCTTGCTGTCATTTGGGGTGGGGCTGCCCTCCTTGGCTCTTGGCAAGTCGACTGCTGCCCCCACACCTGGTCCCACTGGTTCCCCACACCGGGTGGTGGTGGGGGGCCTGTGTTGCCTGTGGAGCCCCACCCTCGTCTGGCTGCCAACAAGGGTCTCACCCCCTTGAGGTGAGGTGGGTCTATTTGGGCTGGGGGAACGTGCCCTACCCAGCCCTGCCCTGTACTGGTGTAGGAAGGGGTGTCCCTGTCCCAGAATGGCTTGGGGTGGCTCCTGAACTTCTAAGGTCCCCTCCCTGGCCTCCCACAGGGCATCCAGGTGGGGTCTCCATGGCCACCTCAGTCTGGGCTCCAGAGTTGGCAGCTGGAGCCATGGAGGTCCCTTCATGACATCTGGAGGGCCACCATCCCCTCACCCAATCCCAGGGGCCACAACATCCCTGACCCAACTCCCCTCCTGTCCCAAAGACTTGGGGAGGAAGAGGCTGGGACCCTGGGCCAGGCAGGCATGTGGAAGGGCTGGTCATGCATGAGAGCAGGAACAGCCCAGGCACAAGGCCGGGCTTCAGTCTGATGGGACCAGCAGTGGAGGGGCGACTCCGGCCAATTCAGCCTCTCTCCCCTGCTGGCCCAGGGGTGGCCCTGTGTGTTCAGGGCCTGGCTTCAGCTCCATGTCTCGGAAGTCTTTTTAGCATCTGGTGCTGCCACCAGCTGTGTCTGGCAGCCGTCCCCTGAGTGCTCACAATTTAAGGGTGTTCAGGCTTCTTGACGTACCAGCACTGCATGTAGACCAGCCTCGGTCTACACGTGTGCAAGGGTTTATGTGTGCAAAGCTGTGCAGGTATTCTTGCTGCAGGCCCTGCTGTCTGCAGCTCTGAAGGACTGAGCTGGGGATGGGGCCCACCTGCAGCTCTGGACGGGGGCATAGCACCCTGGCTGGGATGGGCAGCGGTGTGGCCCAGCCCCACCTCAGCCATAGCTGTGAGGGCTTCTGGGGTCCACAGGAGCTGAGTCCTGCCGGCCAGCCGGTCCCATGAGCTGCCACAGGCGGTGGCTGAGATTCTGCACCTGGCAGGTGCCCAGTACACAGCCCACCCGAAGGAGCTGGGCTTGGGGCCTGCGGGGGCCCGAGTGTTTTCGGGGGCCCGAGTGTTGGCGACCACCATCTCGGAGAGGCTGACCCATAGCAAGGGCCAGGCTGGCACCCCTTTGTGGCTGGAGGGGCTGGTGAAGATTCCAGATCACAGGTCGGGATGCGGGGTGACGGGGCTGCAGGCCGCTGGAAGTCCGGACTGGGACCTCCCTGCAGAGGCAGATGGAGAATGTCAACTCAATGACTCAGACTTTCAGAGACCCCAAACCTACCCACGTTTGCCTTTACGTGGGTCTGGGTCACTGCCAGGGGAAGCCCACGGCCCCCACCCACCCACACACACCCTGGAGCACCGCCAGGGGAAGCCCGGTCCCCGGGACCATCTCAGTGGCCTGGGTCACATGTCCCGGGAGCTAGCATCTCCTTGGGCAAAGGGCACCCCGAGGCCCAGCCTCTGCCAGTCACGACTCTCAGGGCTCAGGGTGACTCGGCCTCTGCTCTCCCTTTAGGGTGGTCACAGACGGGCCTGGGGATATCGCCAGCCTCCCCTCCCCCAGCACACAGCCCCAAGTGAGGGGCTGCTGTGCGTGCATGCGTGTGTGTGTGTGTGTGTGTGTGTGTGTGTGTGTGTGTAGAAGCAACTGCCCTGTGTAGAGGGCAGAGAAAGAGAAAGAAGAGCCTCTGGCCCTGCTGAGGCCTGCGGAAGGCCTGGGTGGGGGGGCCTTCGCCTAGGAGGTGAGCCCTAGCAGTAGGTGTGGATGGAGGGAGGGCGGCACCCATGTCCCCTGCACTCTGCTTCCCGGCAGGGGGGCCCGAGGGGCGGGCTGACCCAAGACCCGCACTCACCTGGGTTTGACGGGACGCCGGTCCCCGCCCAGGCTGCGGGACAGCACGCTCGGGAGCTGCAGGCAGAGGAGGCTGATGCAACCCAGGGCTGCCGTCGGGATCCGGGCCATGGCGGGCAGGGCTGCAGGGGAGGTGGCGGTGAGCCAGGTAGGCTGGGGCAGCCTGAGCGGCTAGCGCCCCCGTCCGCCCGCACCTCGGGGAGCCCTCCGCGGTCGGGGGCGCCGCGCGAGGGCGTGGGAGCGGGGCGCGGGCGTCCGTCGAGGCGCGGGCCTCCGGCGCGGCGCGGGCAACGGGTCTGGGGGCGGCCGCGCGTTGGGTCGCAGGCGGAGCGCGCCGGGTAGGTCGGGGGTCCCGCCTGGAGCGGAGTCACGGCCCGGGATGGCACCTCCGGAGCTGAAGAGCAGCCTTTCCAGCGAGGGGCGGAGCCCGACGCGCGGACTGGGCGGGCCCCCCGAGCCCTGCCGCCTTCCGGGGCGGGGAGGAGGCTGCAGCCCGGGGGTCCCCCGGGCCCGAGTCCGCGGGCGCAGCGAGGGGGCGGCGGAGGGTCCTGTCCCCGCTGGGAGCGCTCGGAGACCGCCCGGGATCGCGGGGCGCCAGCCTCACCTCCGCGCCTTCTGGTGGGCCGCAGCCCCGAGCCCGCGGGGGCCGGGCTCTCCCAGGCAGAAGCGGAGCTCTGGGGGACGGGCAGTCGTCCGAGCTGATCCCACGGCTGGGCGGACGGGGGCCCCCCGTCACCCGCTTCCCGAATCCGGGCGGTCCCGCTCTCCAGGGTCTGACCCGGTGGACGCACGGCCGGCCCAGAGAGTCTGTGGGGCTCCACGACGGGCGGGCCACTCCGCTCTCCGACGCGGCACCCCCACCCCGGCTGCGCTCCCAAAAGGCTCCCCCTCCCCTTCCCCCGCCCCTCCAACCGTGGACCAAAGTATGGCATGATTTTTGTAAGAAATTTAAACAGGTGGCCGGCTGTCGTGGCTCACGCCTGTCATCCCAGCGCTTTGGGAGGCCGAGGCGGGTGGATCACCTGAAGTCAGGAGTTGGAGACCAGCCCGACCAACATGGAGAAGCCCTGTCTCTACTAAAAATACAAAATTAGCCAGGCGTGGTGGCACAAGCCTGTAATCCCAGCCACGTGGGAGGCTGAGGCAGGAGAATTGCTCTGCCCAGGAGGCCGGTGGAGGTGGCAGTGAGCCGAGATCGGGACATTCCACTGAGCCTGCAACGGGAGAAAAGCTGCATCTCAAAAAAAAAAAGAAAGAAAGAAATTTAAACAAGTGAAACGTGAGACTCCCCTCAACACTGCCACCCACTCGAGACCCCTACCCCGGTCTGGGTGGGCGCCCTCTCCTGACCTGCCCTGGGCACACCAAGGCGCGGCCTGTGTGAGGCACACATATCCATGTGTGCAGACCTGCCTGGTTCTTTCCCAAGAGCTTGTTTGGAGGACCTGGCAGAGGAGTGAAGCTACTCAAAGCCCAGTCCTCCATCCCCTCCGACTTCAACGGAGCATGCAACTTTGGGAGGGATGCACAGGGAACGTGGGGGAGGAATGGGACACTCGCCACCCCCAGCCAGCCTCATCAGCCGAATCAACCCTGGTGACCAGTGGGTGACAGGTGTCACAGCCCATGGCCCTCACATCGGAGACCCCATGCTTTCCTGTGGTTGGACCTCCTCCTCCAAGACGCAGGTGTTCTATGATTCACTTCATCTGCTGTTAATTTGAGATTAGTTGATTTTCAGTCTTTCCGTGAATTGCTGCCTTGAGATCGCAGGTGTGTGTATAGGACACCTTGCTAGAAGTAGGAATTCTGGTTGAAGTTGAGCACATGTTTATGTTGATAGCTGTTCTCCACAAAGCTTTCACCTACCCCCTGTGCACTAGTCCTGGACTTGGTGTCACTGGTTCCAAGCTGCTGAGACTGGCCCCTTCTTGGGCTACCTGAGCATCTCTGCATCTGTTTGTGCTTCCCCACCTGTCTCCCCCCCACCCCTGTGCTCACCCCGTAGACCTCCTGCTGATGTGCTTTCGGAGCACAGTCAACATTTGCTGGATGAATAAGTTGAGGAGTGCCGAGCACATGCCACACAGGCCGATCTGGGAGGGCAGGAATGCCCTGCAGATATTTTATTTACTTATTTTGACCAGTTGGGGGGCAGGGAGTATGTCACATTTATGGATTTTTTTTTTTTTTTTTTTTTTTTTTTTTTTTTTTTTCTTAGTTCCAGTCCTACCCCGTCCCCCCAGGCTGGAGTGCAGTGGTGAAATCTCAGCTCACTGCAACCTCCTCTGCCTCCCAGGTTCAAGCAATTCTCCTGCCTCAGCCTCCTGAGTAGCTAGGATTACAGGCTGGGATAATTTTTGTACTTGAGACAGGGTTTCACCATGTTGGCCAGGCCGATTGTGAACTCCTGACATCAGGTGATCCACCCACCTCGGCCTCCCAAAGTGCTGTGATTACCCAGCATCTTTTTAGTCTTGCTCTGTTGCCCAGGCTGGAGTACAGTGGCACGATCTCAGCTCACTGCAACCTCCACTTCCTGGGTTCAAGCAATTCTCCTGCCTCGGCCTCCCCAGTAGCTGGGACTACAGGTGTGTGCCACCACACCCAGCTAATTTTTTGTATTTTTAGTAGACACAGAATTTCATCATGTTAGCCAGGATGGTCTCAATCTCCTGACCTCAGGCGATCTGCCTGCCTTGGCCTCCTACGGTGGTGGGATTACAGGGGTGAGCCACTGTGCCTGGCCATTTGTTTTTTTATTTTTTTGAGATGGAATCTTACTGTGTCGCCCAGGCTGGAGTGCAGTGACACAATCTCGGCTCACTGCAGCCTCCACCTCCCAGGTTCAAGTGATTCTCCTGCCTCAGCCTCCTGAGTAGCTGGGATTACAGGTGCCCCCCACCACCACGCCCAAGTGATTCTCCTGCCTCAGCCTCCTGAGTAGCTGGGACTACGGGCGCCCCCCACCACCACGCCCGAGTGATTCTCCTGCCTCAGCCTCCTGAGTAGCTGGGATTACGGGTGCCCCCCACCACCACGCCCGCCTAATTTTTGTATTCTTAGCAGAGGTTTCACCATGTTGGTCCGGCTGGTCTCAAACTCCTGATCTCTTGATCCTCCAAAGTGCTGGGATTATAGGCATAAGCCACTGCGCCTGGCCTTTTTTTTTTTTTTTTTTTTTTTTTTTGTGGGAGCAGCTCTGTTTTGCAGGGTGGAGTGGAGATGGCGAGATCTCGGCTCACTGTAATCTCCGCCTCCTGGGTTCAAGTGATTCTCCTTCCTCAGCCTCCCGAGTAGCTGGCATTACAGGTGCATGCCACCACGCTCAGCTCAAACTCCTGAATTCAAGTGATCTACCCACCTCCGCTTCCCAGATTACAGGTGTGAGCCACCATGCTGCCATCTTGAGGGGTTTTGTTTGAGTGTTTTATTGTGGCAGAGGTAAGTTTGACTCTGATAGCAAGGAATCCATAGACAGAAAAAGATGGAGTTTGGCGGTGGGCACTGACAATGAATGGCCTGAGATCAGGAGTGGGGAGGGGCAGAGCCTGTGGTAATGGAGGGAGGGGTGGTGTGAGGGATGTAAGATGGGGGCTTGTGCCCCGACCCGATAGCTTCTGTTTGCTCTGTGAGGAGCAGCCAGTCATCTCAGGGACACTGGAAGTAGGATGACAGGTTCAAGGAGAGTGCAGACTGGAAGACAGCTGACCAGAAATCGGAAGGCTGGGCAGTAGCAAGGGGCGACCATCCATCTGAGGTGGGTGCCATGGCATCACCGTTGGTCACTCTGCTCTATGGGGGGTTGTCAATCCATCTGAGGCAGGGGTCATGGTGTCACCAAGGATCACTGTCTTATGGCGGGCATCCATCCACTGGAGGCTGAGGTGATGGTGTCACCGAGGGTCACTCTATCCTATGGGGTGGTGCCATCCATCTGAGGCTGGGGCCAGGGTGTCATCCAGGGTCACTCCATCCTATGGGGGGTGTCTATCCATCTGCAATGGGGACTATGGTGTCCCTTGGGCCACTATGCTCTATGTGGGGTGATGTCCATCTCTCCAAGGCTGGGGCCATAGTGTCACCGAGGGTCAGTCCATCCCTCTGAGCTACTGTGGATGGTTGTTCCCAAGGGCCTGGTGGAAGGGCATGAGAGTGGAGAGTGTGATGCAGGGTCGCTGTAGTCTCAGAGGAGAGCCAACTCTGTGGTCACGGACTAGCCCTGATTTGCCCAGGGACACTGCCAGCCTGCGCCAAGCTCCATGGTGTGGGAATGTGCTGCTGAGGACCTTTTTGGGTACAAGTGACAGAAACCAACTTGAGCTAGCTGGGGCAAAAAGGAGAATTTCTGGCGGGGCACAGTTTCTCACATTTGTAATCCCAGCACTTCTGGAGGCAGATGCAGCAGAATCATTTGAGGCCAGGAGTTCAAGATAGGCCTGGGCAGCATATGAAGACCCTGTCTCTACAAAAAATTTAGTTTTAAAAAAGATGATTTCTCAGCCTGTGAAAACCAACAGTGGGAGAGGAGAGGTATAGTGTAGCCTGTGCCTGGGGACAGGGAGGGGACGCTGGTGGGGTTTCTGTTTGGTTGCATTCGTCATTCTCTTGGGCTGGCTCCTTTCTGCCCATGGATGGAGCATGGATGCCAGTCATTCAGCCAGTTCTTGCAGCAGCCAAACTCTTTTTTTTTTGAGACAGAGTCTCGCTCTGTCGCCATGCTGGAGTGTATGAACCTCTGCTTCCTGGGTTCAAGCGATTCTTCTGCCTCAGTCTCCTGAGTAGCTGGGACTACAGGTGTGCACCACCACACCCAGCTATTTTTTGTATTTTTAGTAGAGATGGTGTTTCACCATGTTGGCCAAGATGGTCTGGATCTTTTGACCTCGTGATCTGCCTGCCTTGGCCTCCCAAAGTGCTGGGATTACAGGCATGAGCCACAGCACCCGGCCCCAGACTCATTTAAAAACAGAACCTCAGGCTGCGTGCAGTGGCTCATGCCTGTAATCCCAGCAGTTTGGGAGGTTGAGGTGGGTGGATCACCTGTGGTCAGGAGTTCAAGACCAGCCTGGCCAACATGGTGACAAACCATCTGAACTAAAATACAAAAGTTAGCCAGGTGTGGTGGCACACGCCTGTAATCCCAGCTATGCGGGAGGCTGAGGCGGGAGAGTCGCTTGAACCTGGGAGACAGAGGTTGCAGCAAGTCAAATTTGTGCCACTGTGCCCCGGCCTGGGCCACAGATTGAGACTCTGCCTCAAAAACAAAACAAAACATAACAAGAAACAGACCTTGGTCTGCCATGCTAAGGGGAGTTTCCCTACTGCACCAGGATGGCTCCTGCAGCTTCTCTCCCACCATGTTCTGCCCTGGGCTTATGTTCATCCCTCAGCCACTTCAGGGGTGGC